CCGGCGGAGTCGGCTCGTAGTGCTGGGAAGATAAGTAAGGCTTGAGAACTGTCTACACTCTAGCACAATGCTGACCGGAGGTCAGCTCATAGTGCCGTTTAGAGTTACGCTACTAGGACGCGCAAGCTTTTGGCCTCACCGACTTGTCCAATCCAATGCAGAATTAACCGCTGGGGAGATAAGTTTGGCATTTGGTCACGCAATGGAAGTTTGTCTGTCACACCCGATTGCGGAGCGGTGTTCCCCCCTTTACGCCATAGAACGCGTGTTTATTGCTTGTGTTTGTCAGGATAATTAAAGCATTACTCCCTAGGAACTGCAACATTAACCTTTTTTATTTCCTACTTATTCATTTTGTTTTCTTTCTTTCTTTCTTTCTTTATTAATTAATTAATTAATTTATTTATTACTTTTTTAAGAAGAAGAAAAAGAAGAAGACTAGCACTATTTCTGTTTCCCCCTGCATGGGACGCCAGTTTATCACAGAGTTACCTCCGAGCATTAAATTCAACAGTACCAATTTTTACACCTGGGTGGCACTGTAAGAGTAAGCTGCTTGCCCAAAAACTAAAAACAATGATCCTGGTCAAGGCTTGAAGCTGAATTGTTCAGTCTGGAGTACATGTCTCCCCATATTTAACCCACAAAGACAGGTAACTGATCTTTAGTTTCTATGGCATTATGACTTTCTTCAGCTGGTTTACTATCATAGGGTATCCATAGGCCAAACATTAATTTCCAGGGTTCCCCTTACATATATAATCATGTATAGTGGAAAACCCATTAAATTCAATTTCCAATTTCAGATTAACTAGGGGGATTAGTGTGGCTTCGTATTAGCATGTTGGAGTGGACCCAAAAGGAGTGGTCCTGACTTGAGCACTACATGTGTTACTACTACTGTGTTGTGGTTTTGGACAAGAGACTCATCATGTCTCTCTCTTCTCTATTGATCTTCAGGACTTAAAATGTTCTCTCAAATACCATGAGTCTCAATAACTGATTAGGCGATACCATTATGTACTCCTGGGCCCAGTTATTCAAAGAGTGAGTGAATACCATCTACCAGATATGTCACTATCAAGAAGATAACTCTTAACAAGACACTATGCTATCCACTAGAGAGTGATTTATCTGGAACATAGTGTTATTCAATCCATACTTTCACCTACATGCACTGGGTCCTGAGTGCCAACAGAGGTTTGAGTTGACTTAGGATACCTATCATATGAGCCTTATAATGAATCAAACCATGTGCAGTGAAGTGCAGAATACAAAGTCATGTAAAATCTTTCAGAAAAATTAAAGATCAAGCAACACAAGCAACTGTAATGCCATGCTTACCTGTCAACTGTTTCACCACAGGTTTCAAGGGATCTAACCATCGCTAAAACAAGTTTAAAAAAATAGTTACTTCTCTTGCAATAAAACAACAGTTCTGATGGATCACCATTAATATTTTTAGCAATATCCTAAATGGAACAGGCATGATCATGAGAGGTGATGACTATGCTCTTTGATACTGAGATCAACAAAAATCAATTAATTGACTTGTACCTGCAATCTTAAAGTCTTGAGCATTAGAACAATGATGATGATGATGATCAATTTTAAGCACCCTAATATTATATAGCTTATAACTTGACCAAGGCTATTTAATTTGAAGAGAATTTCATTACAAATAACACTGACATACCGACTGGCTGTTACGGTCAATATATCGCAGTCCAAAGTAGTCTTTCTCCAGCACGTTGAGATGTTGAAAGACCTTTACTAGTACTTCTTCTCCTTTGGTCTTTTTCTATAACATATAAAGGAAAAAAATCAGATAATAAACACAGACTTAATTTCTCTTTGTGCAACAAGCCAAAGAACTCTGATGTCGTAGTATTACAGATATATTTGTTGAGACTATGATAAGACAACAAGATAACTAGGAAGGAGAGTTATACCACAAACAATAATAGAACAATACAATACAACACAATCCTTTATTTACCCACACAACATTTAGGAGTGATAAAAACTTGTCAAAACATGTGCGTGCTAACAAAATGGAAAGAAAAGAAAGAACTTTTTAAGATCTCGAGATTCTTCATTAGATGTGCTTTTAATTTCTTATAATTATCCGCGAAGTAAAAAATATCAAGTTCTGTTTTTCTTTTCTTCTTCTTTGTAGAAAACACTCAACTAAAGGAAGATATTTTAAATTGACGTTACTTTTAGGAAACTAGAAAATCTAGAGGAACTTTTATGAAACCCAAAAGAAGTCGAGTTCCACACCAAAGCACTGCAGTCAAATCCCCGGGGCGGGGTACTTTGGGAATTTCTGGGTGGGGATGTGCCGCTGGGACCCTGGAACCCTTAGCCTACAGGTGTATGTCAGAGCTAGTTCAGCTGAATTTTGCTACCCTATACTAGAGTAAACTCCCAAAATCCCCCCATCTATCGACACTATCGAGGCTGATTTGCGTAAATTTAAACTTGCTAATTTGATTTTTTTATATTTTTGAGTGGCAATTCCTGGTTTCCTTAGTCTAG